CCATGATGTATTTCGGAGTCGGCATCAGAACGGCCTTGGAATGTGTTACCGTATGTTGACGCGAGTGGAAGTACGGGTAAAGAAGACTTGTAGACAGGTGATGACGAGATTGTGGGGCTCTGCTCTCGGTCCGCGTGGAGCCTTTGTGGCGATGCAATTGGATCAGCCTAAGGTATGTACTTACATGCACCGACCTACCTTAAGGTAGATAGCAGGTACCTAAAATCAACAGAATCCCATAAGTATGCACCGCACAGGTATTGAGCACCATACCTACCTACATACATACATACTATTATTAGCCTACAGGAAAGCTTCATTGTCGCATTACCGTACCCTATTGTCTATGCACGGTACCTATGATCTGCATACCTAGGTACATTACATCATCTAAGGCTCATCCGCTAAAAAGCACTCTTTGGGTAAGACCTTCTGACCGACAGTTATCAATTCGAAACCTTCCTGCCTCCCTATCTATGCGTAATCTAGCATTATTAAATGTGAACACGATAAAAGATGCATTTGTCTTAAGCTATTGAGGACTTGTCTCACCCGGTACCTAGACCAGTGCTTCGTGTAAAAGCTAAGGTCCAATAGCTCAGGTGTAATTTTTGCAGTACTTTAAGAATGCAATGCAGCATACGATTCTATCGACGATTCGGAAAGCAAAAGGGAAACCAGCCGCATTCTACCTACTCAGAGGCCGTACACTACAATAGGTACCTACTGTATGTAGGTGCGCATAGGTAGACTATCTAATCTGGATCTAAGTTTGTTTCATGCGTATAATGTACATATGATATGCATCGAATTTTTATCCTACATTTGCTCTAAGCTTAGTTGAGTAGTTCTCCACACTACGGTCCGCCATGCATGCGCCTCAGCCTTAAGAGTAAAAAGGAAATATTTTGATTGGTTCATTAGGTACCCTAGAATTTCTCAAGATCCGAGATTCCCATACCCACTCACACGTGGGGTGTGGATTTAACGACTAAGGTTCCTTATATTCGAACTTCATGGTAACTTCAAGTTATTCCTTATTCTACTGCACCGTTTTTACTATCTTTTTTACCCTAGTTATATTATTTTGAAGTGATATTTGTAGTCCGCCTTTTTTTTAATTTTCTTCTACGATAGGCAGGCTAATCCTTACAGCGTTTACTACTAATACGTTCGGCACCGAGTACAACCCTCATGCAGCAATCGCTGAGTGTAGCCAAAAAAAAAAAAAAAAAAAACGGCTAACGTTTAGGAAGTGAAGGACTTGGAAACTAGAATACACTCAGCGAACATTATCCGAAGTATTTTACAAGTCAGCTTTAACATGTATAGCATTTTATTGCTTGAACACAGGCGCCGGAGAAACAAGTAGAAGTAGTTAAGCTCCTCTCTTGACTTACCTGGCTTAGTCCGCGATATCAAGTTTTAGGGTCCAGTCTTAAATAACAGGCTGCTAAACGGGCATCCAAGACAGAAAAAGTACCCAACATGACGACTCTGACCAGGGAAAATGTCACGCTACACCAAGTTGGCTACGCTACTAGCTATGGCAACAGCAGCCGGCCACAGCGTGCGGGGATCCAAGGTAAACCCAGTCAGCAAATGGCCGTTTGTCTCGGAACACATACCTGCTGCAGATGACTATGTGCCTCAAAAATGACTGCTCGAGTACTCAGTAACCCCAAACCACCAATCATATCGCCGGCTGATTTTCCTTCGTCTTAGAACCATGGGTTGCCTCGGTATCATGCATGGGAATGCTATAGATAAGATCCACATCATGCCACATCTTTGCGCCCCGAGCCGCCTACCCCTCCCGCAAACGTTAATGCTGGCCCGGTCCGCGACCTATGAGGAGGATACAGCCATCATATCAAAATAGGGTAGTAGATACGTATAGATATTCTATAGGTTTTTGATCTCCGCCGCGACCCCGCTTTCATCAATGCATGTTGGGGGCCACAACCTACAGGAAACACCCGGGGTTGACACGTAGATGCGACCAAGTAGTTCCGTCTATAGGTGTCTTACTGTGTTTTCGCTTATAGAATGGTGTAGAACAAGTATATAAACACAGCACCCAGCCGTCCGTCCCACGCCCAAACACTACATCTACGGACTTACGTCCTATCTACCACAACAAGAACCCCTCGCAATCGGCATCGACCGTCCGTCCTCTCCTCTTCTCTCCTCTAACAAGACCCAACAGTATCACGGAGCAACGCTCTCGAAATACAATATGAAGCCCACTGCCCTTCTCGCCACCTCAATACTCGCCCTCGCCCCCTTGGCGAGTGCCGGCCCGGCCGCATACGGCATCTGTCAAGCTGGCTGCGCCGGCGTCGTCATGGCATGTTATGGGGCAGCGGGGTTTACCTGGGGGGCGACGGCCGGTCTCACGCTCCCAGCAAGCGTCATCGCTTGTAACACGACTTTCGGCGCCTGTCAAGCCGCCTGCTGGGCCGCCGCCATCGCCCCAACTCCTTGAGGTCAACGCGCGTTTGTGTCGTGTTTGTGTATGTCCGCCAATGTATACCATCCCGACGAGCCCAATAACTCAATAACTGATTGCCGGCAGTACGCGACATGAGTTGGTTCGGTTCGCTCATACGAAGATGGATAACATGTGGCCTTAAGCTGTCACTTTCATATTAATAATTACAGTCCTGTCTTTCGCAGGATACCACGAGATACAGAAGGCTTTATAATAACGTGGAAAGTCATGTGAATTATAGTTCCCATGTTTTTTTACCCACAAATATCACTCGCTTTACAGTTTAACTACCCAATACTATAACACCAAAGGATGGCTGTATGGCCTACTATTCACACCCAAGCCTCCGATAATCACTAAACCTTGACTCCGAGTGCCTCGTAAATTGCACCTATGTATGCCATAGACGCCGTGTTCCCGATCACCGAGGCCGATCTCTTGTTCATAGCATAGGTAATCGTGACCTTGCGACCGACGTCCATAATGCCGAGCGAGCCACCCGAGCCACCCCAATAAGCAATATCGCCCGCAGGCATCCAATCATCGACCCAGTCCCCATCGCCTTTGATGGCATACCCGATGCCGAAACGAATGGGCAACCCGATAGCGAGGTCCATTCCATTGGATTGTTCCTTGAATATCAAGTCCACGGTCGACTTGGATAACAGCTGCTTACGCACGCCAGTGCCCTCGTGTCCCGCGAGTGTGACGTTGGACAGTATCTGGTTCATCGCACGAGCGTTGCTGTAACCATTGGAAGCACCGATCTCCCCCTGCATCCACGCCGGGCGTCTCGCTACGTCGGGGGGCATCATGGGGTTCGCGATGGCCTTCAGAAAGAGGGGGCCGGGCTTGAAGTCTGGATTCGGCCCTGACGGAGGTGTTGTCTTCGCAACACGAGACACATCTTTCTCCAGGATGCCGAGTTGGAAATCGGCACCCAAGGGGGTTGCGATCTTTTCCGCGATAAACTGCTTTAGACCCATTCCCGTCACACGACGTACGACTTCGCTCAGCAGGTGGCCGAAGCTATAGGCATGGTACGCCGACGCCGTGCCGGGTTCCCACCACGGTGCTTGGGGGGCCAGCTTCGCAGCGGACGTGATGGGATCGCAGATCTCGTCCATGGTGACCTTGTCGTCCCAGCCAGCGACGCCGGAAGTGTGCGATAGCAGATGGCGTATCTCGATGCTCTGTTTCCCATTGGCGGCAAACTCGGGCCAGTACTTGGAGACTTTATCGTAGACGGAAATAACGCCGCTATCAACGAGCATGAGGACAGCGAGACTGCTGAACATCTTGGAGCTCGAGGCCACACCGACAATGGTATCCTCGGCCCATGGCTGCTTGGTTTCTGGATTCGCGTAGCCACCCCAGATGTTGACGACATCCTCGCCGTCGACGTTCACGGCTATACAGGCGCCAGTCTCTTCTCCTGAATCGACGAATTGCTGGAGAAGAGAACGAACCTTTTCGAACTGTGGAGTGCACTTCCCGTGTACTTCGGCCATGGCGCGGATTCTGGTAGTATTAGAATAAATACGCATAAATATATTGCAGGCTATGGTTGGACCAAGTGATAGTTTCTGAGCGATTAAGTCTGATATTGGATAGGCAGAACGTAGGTCAGCGACCTCGACAAATTTAAGGGAACACTCGAATATTTAGAAGATCCTGAGGCTACATATACTCATAAAATATCTCGTTGGAATACATGGGACTCGAATGGTTGTTACTGAAACCTAGACCGAACTAAATGCACCGGGTCTAGCTATCCGGGCTCTACCCAAGCCCTTTCCGGACGCCGAAAGTGTAAGCGGGGCCGTGTGCCACCCGGTGCGTGACTCATGCGGTATAAGGAGTCCTAAATCTGTATTAGGCCTTGGGATGTACATTTAGTTAGTAACTACTCTGTAAACAGTTACTAATGTCGTCGTATTTTGTAGAGGTACAACTAAAGTGTGATAGAAAAAGAAAAAGTATTACTTTTAATCTATTATCTGGGTTAATGATATATATAAGGCACGTCCGCTAAATAAAGGTTTCCCCCTTCTCCTAGACATCCATAGCTATTGATAGCTTGCCGACTGGTTAGTAAGTATCTAATGGGCGTTTGCAACGTGAATGTTTGACTGCTACCCACCCTATCACGAGACAGAACAACAGCATACCATGACATTGGCAAAAGTACATAGAACGTTATCAAGGCTGGGCGTCTTGGTGCTTACGGTTGGAACCGTGCTAAGCAATATGACGTTGGCGGCCACCTAGTTACTAGGGAGGTCTTTGCGCCATCGGGCTTAGTGGCGTCTTCATGTGTCTCTAAGTTTAAAGCGTTCACTCCTATTATAACTGCTGGTATTCCTAGAAATGATTGATGTTATGGCATACTAAAGAATCCCTTTTTGGATAGCAGAATCTGCACTCCGCAAACACCTCAACTGCCTAGCTGCTCTATTTTATAAACTCTATTGGCTCAGCGTTTGTTTGCACTGGCATAAAAAAATGTCTTCGCCCGGGATCGAACCGGGGATCTTCTGTGATCATAGGATAACTATGTAAGACAGACGCCCTAACCACTAGGCCACAAAGACTCTTCAATAGTAATAATTGCTAATGTTATCTTAAGAATTACTCAAGGTGTCAGGGCTTGCAGGAGCATCAACAGCAGAACATGCCTATTGAGACAATTCATGGTCCCAAAACATGCCAAAGGAGGGAATAAAAGACTCTAGGGGACAGACAAATCGTCAAAGAATTGGATGAATTAACTGAGGGAATAAATGCGAAATTAATTGCATCGCTATACCTCGTATAAGGAACAACGCTAGATAGCTTGATAGATGAGATGATCACCAGTTAGATAGGGGGACATGAAATACTTAGATATGCAAATATGCTTGTCAATTATTCGAATCTTCAGTTATATCGGGACTCGCGGCGCTACTTCTTGCCAGAATGCACATCTCTCTTTGAGCTGGACTAGTTTCGCACTCGCGAACCCAGCGCCCTCGATCACCCACTCCCGCCCCGTCTTCAAGTCCGGCAATCCGGAAACGTCACCTCCCGTCAGCTTCAGGGCATTGGGATCGCCTGTCATGAAGAACGATGCCAAGGCGCCTGTCCAGTCAACATTTAGCGGCCTACTCGCGAACAGTTCCATTTTTGTTAAGAAAAAGGGGGTGTAAAGAGATTGGTTTACGAACCTGCGTAGCCCTTATAATGCAGAGGATCCTGCTTTTGGGCTGAATTGACGGTGTTCCACTGGCGACGAATCTCTTGTTAGAAAACAATACTAGTGGCGAGACACAAGTGACACATTGATCGGACGTACCCAATAAACATCAGAGGCATGCTGTGCCGGAGCGATCGTGTATTCTCCAATCCAGCCCCCAGCCGTCGCGCTGCCCGCCATCCAGTACGCGGGACACGTAAGGGTCGAGTCTCTGTATATGAGTCCAGCCCTTGTGAACGAGTCGTTGTAGCTCGCGACGTTCTCCGCGCTCCCTACCTCGGGGTACAACTCCTTCAACTTATCCAGTTGTGGTCGCGAGAGCGCCGGAAGGTATCCCGATACCCATTCGTCGAAAGAAGCAACCGAGGCGTTGAATGGCGGCGTGCCCGTGTCCGAAGTGCTCTTCAACCCTGGTGGTACGAAATTCTCCCCCTCGTGGGTGTTATACATCCCGTAACCAGCAACGATGCTCCCCTCTCGCCGCGCCGTCGCGGTGGAAAGCGGTTCCCGTAGAAAAACACCATCGATCACGGGGCCCCATTCGAACGTCGATGTGGTATACTTATGACTATCAACAATGGCGAGGTTGGCGTCGCGGATTTTCTGTACGTCTACGCTCTTAAGACACTTCAGGCTCTCCGGCCCCGCGCAACCTGTCAGGTTTGCGAGGGTATCGTATCTCCATTGGGCCTCGGGCGCATCAACACGATAGGTCTTAGGCCAAAACGGGCTTGAGGCGAGCGCTTGTCGAAAGAGCGGCTTCTCTGCCTTCCTTCCCCTCTTTCTGCCCCTGGCACTGCTCTCATGATTCGCGATCGTCTGCGCGAGTACTGCAATCCTCTGGGTCAGTTATAGGGATCTAAACACTGCCTCTGTTCGACAAGACAAGTCTTGCACTCCAAATTTGCCAAAACGGGAATAAAATAGCCCCGAGAATTACTCACCGCTACCGCCGCCTGCCGACTGACCCCAGACCGTAATCCTGTCAGGATCGCCGCCAAAATGGCTGATGTACTTCTTCGTCCAGCGCAGCGCCATCGCCTGATCCAACAAGCCGGCATTGGCATCGGAGAACGGATCTTCCGCGACCTCTCGTCCCGAGAGGAATCCGAACGCGTTGACTCGGTAGTTCGGATATACGAAGATCATGTTGCTCGCGTCGGAGACGTTAAGAATGGGGTAGGCGGAGGGCGGGAGGGTGAACGAAGCTGACCCCTGGATGAAACCGCCGCCATAGAAGGTCACGACGACGGGACGTAGCGGCGCGTCCTGCGTCCAGGGCCGGCCGTACAGCCCGAGGTAAAGGCAGTCTTCTGAGCCATTGACGGCCCGCTGCGGGCACATGTCAAACGTTTCGGACGAGTCGTACACGCCCTGAGTGATTGGTAGGGGTGGCTGAGGCGCCCGAAACCTACGAGGCGAGTGAACATGAGCAACTTAGTCACTGCTGTGATGAATGATTCAGAACGGATATCGGAGTGAGATTTCCAAGTATATTTACCTGTTCTGACCTATGGGGGGCGCAGCAAACGGGATCTTCTGCCAGTATGAAATATCATACACAGGGTTAAATGCTCCTTGGAAGGTCCCATAATCAAGGGACGCAGTGAGGACCTGCGAGTCGCCAACTCTTGCGAGAAGGGAAAGACATATCGCACCTATGAGTGAAAGCATAATTACAATTGAACAGTCAGATAGTCAAGTTCTGTGAAGTCTAGAGCATCGCTGCTATTTATATCCCTGTAAAATGCTGCCCCATTCTACTCTTTACCCGGTGGGTTCGCCATGCAGAATTCCCTTCAACCTGGGATAGGCGATGGAGAAATTTGGAGAACCGCGGCCAGAATATTGTTCTCAGCTCGGTTCATATTGCCCCTTTTGCCGAGTCTGGCATTTCCCATAGCCTCTTTATCGCGGGGCATTTCTATTGCTTACGGTATATCCAGACATCAACATTATCCGTTCATGATAACCTCAGTTCATAATAGACGTCATCTCATAAGCATTTATCGATCATTTTACCGATTCCGGCTCTCCTGGGTAACTCCCCTAGAAGCATTAGTACCTCATGTCGCAAGTTGTCCGACGTCTACTACTCTAACGTTCATATTGCATTTGTCGTCGTAAAATAGAGGCGCACCACGGCAAGAGACGGTGCCGCTAACCCAGTAGTTCATTCTAAGTCAAGGTCCTGCTGCATTTCGGTTTCTAGAAAAATGTCAGACTTTGGCATCCATAAAGCATACATATATATACTTACGCCAAAGACGGTTGGCAGAATCCGTTATGACTTGGGCTTTGGCAAGGAGTTTCTCCTCATACTTTTGTTCGTCTTTAGATTTGACCCGTAATTTAGTTGGTTGCGCCTAGGATTGCACTTAGTTCAACTCTGGAAATTGGTACTCTAAACAAACCTGCATGAGGATAGGCACAAGCTCCTTTGGATCTGCATTTGCTAGCGATGCGACGGTCTTGAACCCGTTGTCATAGAAGACCCGGGCGGTTCGACTCTTGATGAAGGTGACCTTGGTGAGGGCCAAAAGATCTGTTTTAGCTCCAGCTCTAAGACGATCAGAGAAATGGTCCAATATAGCTGCCATGGCGCTGATAAGGATTAGCAACACGAGTTTTTTTTAGTAGATCGGTATTGCTTAGAACCTACCCCCAACCCATTTGCTCGCAGAATTTGATCATTCCTGCCGCAAACCCTTGGCATGTCTGCTCTAGGGTCTGGACAGCACCTCTTGGCATATCATATTTGCGAGCCACCACATGCACAGGCATTTCGTTACATAGATCCCTAAGCTGTAAAGCAAGGTAGAATCTTCGATAAACACGAGCTCTTTCTTTTTCCGCAGGGGTTGATTCTTTGAGGTTTCCACCCTGTGCCCTATGATATACGTTAACGAGTTGACGCTGGCGAAGGACGACTCCACGTACAGTCTGTTTACCTCTGTGGGTTTCAATCCAAGGAACGTCATAACCCGGAGTCCACTTTTGTCAAGGGCCTCCATCTCAGTCCTAAAGACTTGCCAATTAACAGAAACAGATAATTCCTGAACCGGCGTGAAAGTATAAAGAATATGCATTTCGCCATCCATCACGAATGCTTGCAATGCTCGCTTCATTTCGCGATGAACGAATGCCCCATCACTAGGCTCAAGGGACGACGCAACAACTGCTTTTCCTAATTGCGTTGCGACGTAGGAATCGTCGTTGTCATATTCAATAAATCCCATCTCAAGAAGATCCTGTAGACTAGATGCAACATGATCTTGGATTTGGTCTGATGTGCTCGAGAGGCTAAGAAGCGTTTTCTGAATGTAATCATTGATAGACTCTCGTGAGTTCACGAGTCGTATGGAAATGACTTCCAACAGTGCTCGTTGAATTCGGTGTTTGTCAGTTGTCAGGCCGCTCGATATATGTGGTAGGTCTGCATTCATCAGCTCGACCACATCTTCTAGGTCGGATTTACGACAGCAGAGATAAGTCTCGCCTATCTCGTCTTTACCCTTCCTCCCTGCACGTCCACGCATTTGACGCAACATCGAAGGCCCAATTAAGTCACGACCCATCCGTGCGTTATGCAGGATGACTCTCCGAGCCGGAAGATTTATTCCAGCGGCAAGGCTGCATGTCGCCACTACGACCTTCAGCGCTCCGCTATCATAGGCAGTGGATATTAAATCGCGCTCTTCTGTTGTCATCCCGGCATGATGAAAAGCAACACCCGCCGGGATAGTCTCAGCTAAGATAGGATCAAGACCCGTTGACAAACTGCGCAGATCCCCCAGTAGATCTGACCGCCTCTCAAAAACAGCAGAATCTAGCTCGTTAGCTTGGGGCAGTACCTTACTAATAAGACGAGCGTCTGACTCGCATCCTTGGCGGCTGCTACAGAAGACGAGGACGCCGTAGCCAGACCTTGCCGTTTCATTCGCCAGCGCAACGACAGCATTCAAGACGGGGTCTTGGAATTCTTTGTGCTCACTTATATGTATTGTCCTCACTGGTTGACTGTCTAGCTCGAGGGCACTGCCAGGATTCTGTCGTAATTGACTGGCGGTTTTTAGTAGGCTTCTTGTGCTCGATGCTAGGTAGATCTTGCCTTCATAGACAAGGTGCTCCTCTACAGGGATAGGGCGATAAAAGGTTCTATATGTGTGGGCGTCAAGCCATGTTGACAAGACTTCCATGTTCTAGCGCCGTCAGTAGTTGGTAGTAGAACGATAGTAGTCAAATAACACATACAGCCAACGTGGCACTCATGCCAATGATCTGAACGCTGTGCTCCAAACTCATCAGCTTGGTAGCGATAAGCTCCATTAGGTAGCCTCTATGGTCATCGTCTACCAT